AAACTCTTACTCCTGTCCTAATAAAATAAAGCTCTGATTAAAGAACACCTGTAAAAAACATGTTTAAATACAGTGAAATATCGCATCAAGCAAACTGACTAAAATCTTCAGTATTATAAAGAAATTTCAGTTCATCTGTTTTACGTTCAAGTTTTACATTCTTGTTCAGATCTGTAAACACAGCACAAGTGTAGGTATGGGAGGAAATCAAGAGTTTTTATTGCTGCCTCGCTTCACACGTCATCATTTGTTTTTCTACTCAGGAGAGTTCTGACACAAACAGTCATGTTATTAAGATTTTAGTTGTTTTCTTATGTGTGACCTGTGATAAATGAATAAAAACTACATCCATAATGTAATTGTTGAACACAGTTAAGTGAAAATAGGTTTAAAATTTGGATTCTTGGGAAATGTTATGAACAATTAATATTTTAAAGTCCATGCTCAATAATCCGGGTAAAAAAAAATCCAACAAAGTTCAGTCGGTTTCTTTTTTTTTTTGTTGAGACGTTTCATCCTCCATCCAAAAGACTTCATCAGTCCAAGGGGCCACAAAGAAATGCAGTCCCACAAGCAGCACACTCACATAGTGGACTAGCCAATTTGCTGGTGATAAGATGGTTTCTGGGGCCTGCCCTCTCCTCATCGACTCTTCTCAGGAAGCCATTGCCAAAGTGCTTCAAAACATCAAAGTTCATGCTCAATAATCCAGGTAAAAAATCCAACAAAGTTCAGTTAGGTTCAGTTGGGTTGTGAACTATTGGCTTTATTCACAAAATATGAATGAAATGTGCTTTGTTTGTGAGCAATCAATGCTGAGATTTACTTATCAAACTAACCGTGTTAGACACATACCTGGCCCAGTGAGGGAGATGAATCCCCCTCTCCTTCTTTCACAACCTGTCAGACCTCAGCAGAAGCTACATGCCCTGCACCTGACGGAGGGCGCCCACTCATAAGTGGGCGATAGGAAACCAAAATGTAGGCTGGACAGGCTATATGAAATAATGTATGTCATTGTTTTTAAGGGAAGAGCGGGGGCAGGCGCTTGTGCCACTCTTGATGAGATGCTGCCCTTGGCAGCTGCCTATATCTCCCATATCAGAAACTTCCACAGCTGTCTTCCGGATCGAAGGCGAAACGTTTCAGCACAAAAAAAAAAAGAAACTGTCCAGATGACCTGACTGAAAAATGTTGGATTGTATACCTGGATTATTGAGCATGGACTTTGTTGTTTTCAACCAGTTTGACAAGACTGTCAACAAGGAAGAGGGCCGGCAATGGAGGAGGGGGCGTACCAAAGAGACCATCTTATCACAAGCAGAACTGGTTTGTTCCACTTTGGAGTAAGCTGTTGGGGGAAGAATCAGTTTTGTTGTGTGTTTCCTTGACTGATGAAGCCTTCCAGATTGAAGGCAAAACGTTTCGGCACAAAAAAAAAAAGAAAGAAAGAAACTGTCCAGATGACCTGACTGAAAAATGTTGGATTGTATACCTGGATTATTGAGCATGGACTTTGTTGTTCCACAGCTGTCATTTGTGCTTATGCACTGAATGGCAGTTCAGAACATCCAGCCTTCTTGGAGTCTTTAGCGAGAGTTCTGGAAGGTGCTCCAGCTGCGATCTTCTTTTTTCTGCTGGGGGATTTTAGTGACCACATGGGTAGTGAGTGACAGTGTGTGTGGGAGAACCATGATCTGGAGGAACGGCCTCTTTGTTCTCTTATCTAAACCCAAGCAATGTTCTGATGCTGAACTTTTTTTCTAGTCATGGTTTGTTCTTTACAAACACCCTGTTCGAACATAAGTGCACATGGCACCAGTACACCATGGACCACAGATTTACTTTGATTTACTTTGCCTCAGATCAGCTGATCAGCTGCTCCTGGAGGTGCCGAGGTCTAAACGGAGGCTCAGAGGGAACAGAGCTTATTCTGTAGCTGCTCCAAGACTGTGGAACGATCTCCCTCTTCCCATCAGACAAGCCCCTTCACTGTCCAGTTTTAAAACTCTTTTAAAAACATATTTTTACTCCCTGGCTTTTAGCACAGACTGAATTTTGCTCTGCACCGTTTTCATTATTTTTATTGATCTTAATGTTTTAACAACTGTTTTATGTGTTTAAATGTTCTTGATTTTATATGTACAGCACTTTGTGGCAGTTGTGGTTGTTTTAAAGGGCTTTATAAATAAAGTATTATTATTATTTGTAATCTGATCTGCAGCATATGTTTTGGATACTTGGTTGAAGGGAGGAGCTGAGCTGTCAACTGACCAGTTGTAATGATTTTTCATCTATATTCTTATTACATTTTATGCATTAATTAATGTATTCATTCATATATTCATTTCCAGCTCTGTCCTGCCCAAAATTAGACAGATGGAATGAGTGATGAGCAGAGGGACCTACTGTCAGATCATCAGACAGTAGCGAGCTGAAGGGCTGTCAGACAGCAAAACATCAGCAATAGCAAAATGACTTTTTTGTCATCACATAACACTTGCACTGCATCAGCTGAAAGTGGTTGACAAAAACTCAGTTCATTGTTTGGTATTATAGCTTTTATTTCAAGAGGAAAAAAAATATTGCTCTGGGTGATGAACCCCAACACTTTGGTGGAGAGAACAGGTTTTCATTTAATTTCATTCATTCATTTCTCCATTCTAATTCTTCACCCACTTTTTTGTCTCCCTGGCGTATGATTGTCTTTCTGTGTGTCGTCTGCCCTTAGATGTGTTGTTATTAGGACTGAGATGGGCTTGATGAGTTGCCAGAAAACTAAACTTATATTGTTGTCAGGTCTTGGACTTGGCATGCTGTGCTAAATGTGCCTTTTCTAATACTAAAACTAAAACTAATACTAATGCAATTATGAACAATTGACTCAGTGGGCCTTTTGGTTGATGTTAACTTGCAATTTTATCAGTTTAAATGTAAAAAAAAAAAAAAACCCAAAAAACAATAACTACCATAATATTATTTTCATGTAATCAACAAAAGTTGACCTTTTAATAAGAAAAATATGTTATCTGTTTATTCATAACTTCCATAAATGTTCTTAGAGACAGAAAAGTACAGAGGCAGATTTTACAAAACAGAGATCACTCTCTTTGTATGATCCAGATATATAATACCATGATCGATTTATGTCTCACATTATCTTATTTCATAATCAACCCTGAAATGTGTCTTCTAATATCTGGCAACTTAAACCCATAGACAAGAGGATTCAGAACCGGAGGAATGACAACAAACTCCAAAGATAAAATCACAGATAAAAACGGATTTATAACTTCACCGTTGTATCGACTCAGGGCAACATCACAGAAAAGTACAATGGAATAAATGGTGAATGAAACTAAGTGTGGCAAACAGCTCTGTAACACTTTACCTTTGAACTCTGCTGATTTTTTCCAGCAGACCAGCACAATTTGTAAATAGGTGAACAGAACATAAAAGAGTGGAAGGAAAATGGTGGTTATGGACAAAAACATGCCTAAAATATTGTTGGCTGTGGTGCTAACACAGGATAATTTCACCACATTCCAGTTGGCACAGAAGACTTTTTGTATCTCAGTCCCACATAAAGGAAGTTGAGCAGTCAAAAACATGACTGCAGTGAGAATCAAGGCCGGATAAACCCAAGCCA